ATATATACATGGAGCCCTGGTGGCAAAGTGGTTAAGAGCTCAGCTGCTAACAAAAGGTCCAGGATCAGCAGTTCAAATCCACCAGCCACTCCTTGGAAATCATATGGGGCAGTTATGCTCTGTCCTATTGGGTTGCTGTGAGTTGTAATCGACTGGACGGCAATGGGTTATATATATACTCATATATATATATATATATGACATTTGGTACTGAGAGTGGTTCTTGAGGTACAAAATTATAGGGGTGAGTTTTCTGAATTGGTTCTCAGATCTGCTAGCCTTAAAGGTGCTGATGACTCTGCCTTCGATAGCAAAGAGGGAACTGCTAATCCATGGCATGAGGCGGCAATAGACATATGCAAAATATCACCACCAGTGGATCAAATATTTGTGAGAGACAAGGCTCTGGGTGACTGCATATTTGATACTTCTCTACAATTTTGTCAGAATGAGAAGTATAAGGAAGCTGCCCAGTTGGTCCTACTTTCTCTAGACAAAGTGGTGAAAGAAGAAATGGGCTCAGAAAAAATATACGAAACAATGGTTGTCAAGGCACTGTGACACTACATCAGGCAATGAAGGGATGAAGGACAGTGGCCCCTGGGACGGGGAGACAAGTGAGGTGAGTCCTGTGATCGCCCCAGCTTGCTGCCCTGAGAGAATTTTCAGGTGCAGCACAGGGAGGCGGAACCCAGGTGGAGCTGGAGACTCCCTGAGGTGGGGAGATGGAGCTAAGGGTTCAGAGAGACCAAGAGGGCTAGAGTTCACAGGACAGAACACAGGAGAGGATAGAGCTGCACAGAGAGAGAACTCAAGATAGCTGCAGAGGATCCCCATGAGTATTCAGCAGAGTGAGTGATATATTCACAATATTGATGGTGGTGATGGTTTCACAGGTTTATAATATGTCAAAACTTATTACATTGTACACTTAAGTATTTGCAGTCTATTATAATTAAATTATACTTCAATAAAATGCTTAAAAAGACAACAAAACTTTAGTGTTTATAAGAATTATAAGAGAAGTTGCTCAAAAGATTCTTTTAGTAAAACTTCAGTGGAACCAAAAATCTGCTCTTGTAAATAATCTCTCCTCACTGATTCTGATGCAGAAGGTCCAGAGCCTTAACTTTGAGAAATATTGCTTCGTTAAGGTTTCTGCTAAGGTCACCCAAACTTAGTCAATGTCACTTATGCAGAGGATGGTTAGGAAAAAAGCTGAAATCAGGTAGCACAAAGCGTCAGTACAATTGCAACAGACAAATTTGCTTACTATTCTCACACTTGTACTTATTGGGTAATCCACATGTTGAATGAGTTGATGGAAACAGTGGAATCATGTGGAATCAGTACCCCGATTCAATGACAAAGGGCAAAAGAAGAAACATTAGTAAACTTATTGAGCCTCATTTCCTCATATAAAACTGGAGACTATAAAATTCTCTAGAATTTTTTAAGGATTAAAAATTACATAAATATAAAAGCTTGTGCTACACTGCTTTATCTTTCCAAAACATCAGGTTGCTGATTCACTAATTTTCTAGTGAAGTGGCCCAAGCCACTAGGACTTCCTGATTAGTTGTTTTGGGGGTTGTTTCCTGGCTGGACCTTTATTTTCTTATTTTTTAATCTTATTTTAAGATTTTAAATTATTGTTTTTCATATTCTTATATTTTCATTTCTTTTTACTTGTGTTATTGTTTAATTTATTTATATTTTATTAATGACTTTTTTGATTTTATTTTTAAACATATTTGCGTGTGTGACTTGAAAGACTCTGTACTTTTCCAGAAAGATACACGAGATTTTGTATGTATTAGCCAGTGCTCTTTTCTCCTTATGGTAAAAAGGCAGGGCCTCAAAGCCCATCAGCTCGAAATCATTGTTATCACCCTGGATTATCATGTATAAGGTCCAGGTCTGGAACACCTAGCTTATCATCAAATGAAAACCCTGAAAGGGGCTAAATTGATAAACCCATCTACTGTTGGTTTTATGCCATTAGCCTGCGATTTTCCAAAAGATCATGAACACATGCTACCTGTTTGGAACAGCCATCTATGTTGATGGTATTTTAGTTTGTCCCACCAGTTCCACCATATGTAAGCATCTCCTTTGAAGCATCTTGGGAAGATCAGGGCAGCACCCCTTCCAGCTCAGATTTAAATCTAAGATCTCTGTTTGAGTAATGAGGTGGTAGGATATTCTGTTTTCTAGCAACGGCTCCAAATGCTAGATATCAAACCCACCATTGTCCCGGAAAGGGTTTTTAGGCCCTTTAGTACTACATTAGTACAGAATCGATTTTTTTTCCTCATCCAAGCTGGATATGTATGGTCAAACCTGATACCATCAATGTGGCATCTCAGTTTTAAAGTCTCTCAGTTGCTGTCCTCCAACTCTTAGAAGAATTTGGTTATACTATCACCAATTTGGAAAACCCTGGCAGCATAGTGGTTAAGTGCTACGGCTGCTGACTGAAAGGTCAGCAGTTTGAATCCACCAGGCGCTCCCTGGAAACTCTATGGGGCAGTTCTACTCTGTCCTATAGAGTTGCTATGAGTTGGAACTGACTCCACAGCAATGAGTTTTTTTGTTTGTTTGTTTTTTTTTTAATCACGGATTCACCAGCCGTCTGTCAGTTTGTCATACTGTGGTGGTTTGCATGTCGTTGTGGTGCTGGAAGCTATGCCACCAGTATTTCAAACACCAGCAGGGTCACCTGTGGTGGACAGGTTTCAGCAGAGATTCCAGACTAAGACAGACTAAGCAGAAAAGCCTGGTGATCTACTTTCAGAATTAGCCAGTGAAAACTTCTGGATCACAACAGAATATTGTCCAACTCCTTCATTAGGAGGAATTAATCACTGGAGGAGGACAGTTTGTTTGCTGAAGTAAAAGGCCAGCGAGGGTGAGGGAGACCCTCAGTGAGATGGATTTGCACAATCGCCAACATGGTGGATTCAAACATACTTGTGATTATGAGGATGGTATAGGACTAAGCAACATTACGTTCTATTGTACATAAGGTCACTATAACTTGGAGTCGACGCTACCACGTCTGTCTGTCTACCTACCTACCTACCTACCTACCTATCTATCTATCTGTCTATCTAATCTATCACCAGTTAGTTTCTTTTTGGGTATGGACACCATTCCCTGAATGCTCTTATTACAACCATTCCAAGCTGAGGATAACACTTGCAGAGATTTGAATAGATCAAGCCAGTCTGTATACAATTCCCAGCATAAATATTCTCTTCCTCTACTTTGCCATGCAATGGACTCTTAGCAGAGGGCATCTCTGTGGCTCCCCACCCATGCATTACTCAGGCCTAATTAGGTGATGTATCTTTTGTGTTTGTGTAGTACTGATTTTGCTTCTATTATAGCCCAGGATGCACTGTGCATAATTGGTAATTTGTCTCTTTACTCTGAGGACAGAGATCGTGTCTGATTCATCTCTGAATCCTTACAACTCAGCACTGTTCCTACTTTGTATCAGGTAATTAGCTGATGTTTAATGATCGCTTCATTCTCTAATATTTCTTTATATAACATCATAGTTTTATAAATTCAAGAAACACCAAATTTATTCACTTTCCTTTAATGAATATTTGTTACAAAAACAGAGGTATAAAGTCTTGTTCCCAAGTCCAAACCCTTTTTAACGTAAACCTCGAGTTTTCTGAATTACCCGTGTGAAGTAATTCTCTTTATGCCTGAAAAATGGTTTTATTGCAATGTCTGAGATAAAAATATGTTTTACAAGAAGCATATGACAAACATTTCAAGAGTACAAAATTAGTTGTAAAAATAACAATTTACTGGTAATCTGACATTGTATTAGAAAATGCAAAGCCTTTTGATGTAAAAGTTTTTGTGGGTGTTTGTTTTGATTTTTCTAATTTGTTTGTTTATACTGAGTGCCCATTTTTATAACTTAGCTTCCCATGCAGAGGTAACTGTTTGCATGCATTTAATCTACCCATTACATATAATTCAAGGCTCAATATTTTCAGTGGGATAACAGCTCACTACTCTGAGATGTGAATTGTAATGAATCCCGCGACAAGGATTTTCTTTGATGTAATCCAAAGGTAGCTAGAACTTCTAATGTCAAGATGTAAAAACTTGTAAGGGGCTATATTTTCCTCAGTTCCTAACCCACAGGAGGCTAACCCCACAATTGCTTTCATGTTTCTCATTGAGGGAAAAAAAAAAAATGCTATTTGCGTACAGAATTGTTTCATGATTGGTTTTTGTGTTGATGATTTTGAAGTTTCTGAAGTCGAAGTGGCCCTCAGAATTTTCCTTTCGGTCAGATGATAGACTTAGGGTTTTATAAACTTTGGTGTCCGGTTTCTGGTTTTTCACTGAGAACGACCTTCCCTTGATCGTCTTCTAGATCCTGGTTAGGAAGAAGAAAGAACATATAGACTGTAAATGTGATGAAACTTTAGAGTTTAAGAACATGATATTCTATGCATAACTATCTTTATCAAAGTCTGTCATTTCTTAGTGTAATAAATGTTACATTGTTTTCTTAATAATACTTTCAGTTGATAGTGAGGAAGCCAAAGTTATCTTTTAATCAGAAGTATAAGAAAAGAGTAAGTTAAAATTTGGTAATTTTAATTCTTTAGAAAATTTGGATGTTTACAAGAAAGCCCTGATAAATCCTTGAGTTACAAAATAATTGTGCAATTGATCCTTTAATCCAAATAACTGTACATTGGAGTGGCCTAAAATCAGATATGCCTATAATGGATTTATAAGCCTTTAATCTTTGAATGTATACAAATGTAAGGCAACCTAAGTGAAAAAATTAAAAAATGCACATAAGTATAGTTATGAAGAAAATTATATCTCCTATGTGATGTATGCTTGTATATAATCTACACATTATATCAAGAGCTTTGTAAATAGTTACATTAGCAGTTTTCTGTATGTATACATTTAGAATTTGTATATGTCTCAAAATAGTATTCTCTCAAAAAAAAATTTTTTTTATAGTGATCAGGTCAAACTGTAACCTACTTTTGCTCTGCTCTGGCATTCAAGAATTTATTTTTGACTAGACTGTACTTGATTCTACTTCGTTCACAGCCAAGCGTCCACCCAAAGATACCTTGGAAGAAAGGCCTAACAATCTACTTGTGAATTCAGTCAGTAAAAACCCCCGTGAAGCACGGTTCTCCTCTGACACACGCAGGACTGCCATGAGTCAAAGCTGATTCCATGACAACCGGTTTTGTTGTTCTTAGACTCTACTAATAGTGTCGAACATGAACAATTTATTTTCTGATTCTTATTATCAAAGTACTGTACCTCAAAAGTGACTAACTTTTCTCCCTGACAACAAAATTCAATAAAATACATCAACACACTCTGCTTTCTTTGGTGTCGTGTGTAAATGTTACCACAGTCAATATACTTACCTTGGACTCGCTTGTTGGCTTGCACTTTCCTCACAGGTGTGTCTAAAATTAAATAGTCATAGTTAGAAGTACTTCAGATTAATTAGAAATTATGTCTGAAATCAGACAGGAGACTATAATTAAGCAGAAAAGTCTAAAATTTTACATATGCATTACTTAAACATGTAAGTTTTCTTTTGGAGTAGTAAATTTTATGATTGCAAGTGGTCTGCATTGGCAATGGACAAATAGACATTTCTTTTCCATGTATCATAGTGGATGTTAACTATTTTCAAAACACATTTTCATTATGGCATTTGTGCTATTTTTGCATAAAGTAAATGATTTACATTACTTTTTCACCCTTTTGTAAGAAGTATCACTTTCCAGAGTTATGTACCTATTTTGCCAGGCACTCATCCCCATTTGTAATGTTTCAGACTTCTGACTCTAAAATTCTTGACATTATAGATCAAACAGTGATTATCTTATAGTACATGAAGACAACAACATAGCATTGACTTAACAGCTCTAGAATGTAACAATAAGCAATTCAGGAAATGTGTGCCACTATCTCTCAAAATTCAATTCCAATCTTACAAGACAATTAAAAAAATAAACTAGTTAGAAATAACAAAACCTTCATATTTAAGAACATCAAGTGTTTCGTTAACAGGGCTTTGAACCAGTCTGCTCTGGATCGGATCTAACCTATGCTGAGAATTTGCATTTTTACCAAGTTCCTTGCTGAGAATTTACATTTCCAACAAGTTCCCAGAAATTTATACATATAAATCACCTAGGAAAAAAAAAACCAAAAAACAAAACCCATTGCCCCAGAGTCAATTCCGACTCATATCAACTCTATAGGACAGAGAGTTTCCAAGTTGCGGCCAATTTCTTAACCACTGTGCCACCAGAGCTCATCTTATTAAAATGTAGATCCGAATTCAGTATATCTGGGGGTAGAAAAGCCCATTCTCAGCAGGGAACGTGTTAGAAACGCAAATTCTCAGCAGGGGGTTGAACAGAAGGAAACTATTCAAAGCCCTATTTCATAATTACGTAACTTTTGTTGTTGTTGTAGTATTGAGTATTTCTCAATTCCTTATTTTTCTTTTAACGGACTGACAAGATTACCTGTGTGGTGCAATGGCTTGCTTTCCTATGGCCTTTGGATGGGAGTATACAGATAAGGTAATTGTGGCCCATCAAGGGGATTGGATGGCTTGTTAACAGTGCAAATAAGGTTTATGGCACCTTTGTGGGGGTGGGACCATGCAAATAAGACCTATGGAAACCTAACAAAGGGATTGGTCAGCTTTGCCATCCTGCTAGGCTTACAATGAGCCATCCCAGAGGCGGGAGGAGAGGATGTCATCACCACCCAGAAAGAACAGCCAGGAGCAGAGCGTGTCCTTTGGACCCAGGATTCCGGCACTGAGACGCTCCTGGAACCAGGAGACTGAGAGAGAGAAGTAACACTGAAGACAGTGAGAAGCGGTGGCAGAGAAATGGCAGCAAGGCAGGAGACCGGCAGAAGAGGGCACAGTGGGTTTCCCCACCCACGGAGCAAGAAAGCTTAATGCCTTTGGGCAGGAGGCTTGATGGTGGAGTAGGGTGCCTCTGGGCACTTGGTGGAGCTAGATTTGCCGACCCATGGAGCTAGAGCTGAGCACCTTCAAGCTGAGGCTTACTGGCGGAGTGAGGTGCCTCTAGGCACTTATTGGCAGAGCTAAAAGAGCTTTGTAACACTTGCCTCAGCACGGCAGAGGCTGAGGAGCCAGCACGGCAGAGGCTGGGGGCCAGAGAGAGGCATGCCTGTGGGCACGGCTGAGAAGAGGCTGTCCTGATGGAAGAACTGTATCCTGAGTGTTCCTGGACCTGAACTGTTACCTTCTACTTCCCCAATAAATCCCATAATGGTGATTATTGTCTGTGAGTTGTGGGTGGCCCTTGCAACGAACTATCAAACCCAGCAGAGAAGTAGAGAGTGCCATGGGAGGGACGGTTGGTGTCAGAATTGGTAAAGAAGGCAGAGAGAGGAGGCATGTCTGACCTCCACCTCATAGCAATCCGTTTTGGGCTGTTGATCTTGATCCCCTTTTCTCCCTGTGAAGTTAGAGGAGGTCAGATGCCTCCGCCACACCATTTTTACAACCTGGTAGGCCTAAGTTCATATTTTCACAACTGTTGATGGACATTGAGACCAAAGAGTAAATTGGTTCTTACAGAAACTTAATTTTTCTGTTTATCTTTATTTTTTCTCCATATTTTGACTTTTTAAAATATATGTATATCATCTATGTTGGGCAATGAAATCAACATCTTTATATTATATAAATGTTTCAATTTTCTGAAATCCTATAAAAAGTAGCCATGAAACTATTACCATGAGTAATTCTGGTGTATGACACCAAGTTAAAAAAAAAAAGAAACAATATTTTTTTCAAATTTTGAGGAATTCTGTTTCTGTCTAGATAGCTTATTTCCAACGTGTCATTTTTCCATCCCAGAATATAAGGTGTATAACCATTTTCCACACAATATTAATCAAACCTGTTGCCGTCAAGTTGTTTCCGACTCATAGAGACCCTATAGGACAGAGTAGAACTGCCCCATAGGGTTTCCAAGGAGTGGCTGGTGGATTTGAACTGCTGACCTTTTGTTAGCAGCTGAGCTCTTAACCACTGCCCCACCAAGGCTCTGACACCATAGTAATACTACAATAAAATATGGAACTATAGAAAATCTCATTAGACTGGATAAGGAGGGAAAGCTATGATAATATCAAAATAAGAAGTGCTTTATGTGTCAAGTGACTTTATCTTTAAAAGAAAAGCATGATAAAAGTGTAGAAAATCGGGTTTTCTCCCCTTGGCCCTCCGCTATATCAAAATGAATGAGAGTTGTGTTAGGTCATGTTAAGAGAAGCAAAATGAGTGAAGGTGAATCTGTTACCTGAATCATTTGGCACACACGGCCTTGCCCAAAACCTGATTCCTAAAACATGCAAAGTGCCTCAGCCCAATTATTGCAAATTGCTACATTTTTGCATTGCTATGACTTTGGAAATTTAAGGTAAGGGTGTTGTTTTACCTTCATGACCATGATAATGTGAGTTGGAGATAATACTGATAGTAGCCAGCATTCACGGAGAGCTCACTATTCCAAGGGCTCTTCATCTGTTAACTATAGGCTACATAAGGAACACTACCGTCTGCGCTCTTCAGATGAAGAAACCAAAGCAGAAAACAGTCAACTAAGCGAAGATGACTGGAGGTGGAGCACAGATTGGAGCCAGTTACACCCTGATTCTCTAAGCTCCACAAAAGCCAGGAATCTTAACAAAGCTTTATTGGCAGATTTGCCAAAACCTTCCAAAATGACTTTTCTGGTTCCCTTCTCCGTAGCCTAATGTTCTCCCTTAATTTCTCTAGTAGTTTCTGTATACTTTGTCCTATCTAAGATAAGCATGAAAAACTGATGGGCAGAGTTTAACAACTCTATACGCACTTTGTAAAAATTTTTGTTTTAGTTAATGGCTCTGAAATATTTCAGTGATAAATCACAGCATCTGTACCAGTGGACTACTTAGCCATGTTAATAGTCATCACTTAAATGATTAGGACATACACTCAATTCAACAAAATATACGGCTATATGTACCACAATATAAACAGTTTAGGTAGGAAATACCAAGGTTTAAGATGAAGACCATATCAGTCTGAAAGACACAAAAAGTCAGTTTGTATTCACAATCGTTTCTTGGTAAATCTGTGTCCCTTAGGATCTAGACAAGAAGACATTTGTGACTTAGTGATGACCCAATGGTTTTACATGGCTGAAAAAAAAATGCTAGCATATCCAATTAATGTAACTATGATGCTTCTACTGTCTTTCCAATGGGAAGAAAAATACTGGGAATGTTTTGATAAAAACTTAGGATGTGGCACTGTGGAAACAGCCTTATATGTGTAACAGAGAAACCACATATTGGGGACTAAAGGATTAATCTCTGGGATGAACAAAAACAATTAAGAGAGAAGTCCATTAACTAGGAAGCAACAGAATATCACACTCCAATTTATAGTAGATATGTCTTCTTTTCTTGGTTTAAGCAATTCTTAAGTACTTAGTTTTATTATCTATAATGGATTCATTAACAAGGACTTATTAAAGGGAAAGAAAAGAAAACATACTTACCTGAAGTTTAAGCCTAAATAAATTAAAGCAATATAAACAAATGCAGCTACTAATTGATACATTCTCTAAAAAACACTGCCATTCTACAAAGCTGCTTACTATGGCAAGGATTACAAAAAAAAAAAAGAATTCAATTTAATCTTCATAATGTGTTGGCCTATTCCCTCGAATTCCTAATGTTTTGCCAGCAGACAGGCGTGTGGGGTAGATAACTGACTTCTGTGTTGGATGTTACAAGACCCTTTGGTGTCATATGGCTTTGGTTGCGTCAGGTACTCCCTGTGGTCTGAAAGGAAATCTGGTAATTTTCAGACACATACATTTCTGTTGAGGGGAAATTCAATCATTGGTTGAAAGAAATTATGCATTTTTATTACCACTTGCAAGTCTTTAAACAGTGTATAAGAGACTTTTATCTGTATTTAAATAAAGCATAAAAGAAACAATAATTGCCCAAATTACCCAGGGTCCCAAGAGAATTTACATCTTCTTGGACATAATGATCCAACTTTTACAATGATCAGCAGCAAACCCATACGGACTATACTGTGGATAAATACCAAACTTCAGTTGTGTTTCTTAATTGGTATATTGTTTCAAAGAGTATATTTGTTTTTTACTAAATAATTTAAATACTTGTTTCTCTAAAGCATTTTGGCATTTTGCTAATTTAATTGTTAATAAAATAAACCAAAAATCTATTTATTCAAATTTCGGTGATCCAGGGGGAGGGAAGGAGGGATGAATAGGTAAAGCACAGGGCATTTTTAAGGCGGTAAAATGATTCTGTGTGATGTTGTAATTCATGGCGGACACACGCCATTATACATTTGGCAAAACCCATAGAACTGTACAGCACCAAGATTAAACACCAGTGTAAACTATGGACATTAGTTAATAATAATGTATCAGTTCATTTGCTCACAAGTTGTGACAAATGCACCACAGGAAGGAAGGCTAAATGTCACTAAGAGGAGAAGCAGTGTGTAAGGGAGGGGAGACAGCGAACTCTGTACTTCCTGCACAGTGTTTCTGGAAACATAAAACTGCTCTAAAAAATAAAGTCTATTAATTTAAAAAATTCCAATGATCCAAATTAGAGTTTATTAGCATAAATTATTTCTTTGAATAATTACCATTTAGAGTTTGTGTAAGATTTTGAATTCTTTTTTTTCTTCCTTTGCTTTTAAAGTAGGACCATTTAATGCCATAAACAGAGAACATTGCATACTTTAAGGATTAAGATTAATATCATATGCAAAAATAACATAATCCCCAGGAATAGATTATCACCCGAATTGTTAGAAGGAACAGATACACATTCCCAGCAATGTAGTCTGGAAAAGAAAGTTACTAAATGCACTGGTTTTACTCTATCTATCACTTAAAGAATCCATAAACATGCCTTTTATTATTGTTATGGGGGCGGTGAATACATTTTTAAAATAGAAAAAGTATATCAGTTTGGGCTTGTTTAAACAACTAGCAATTTAATTGTTTTTCTCCTTTTACTTGCTTAAAATATCTTTACGATTATCTGTGTCAAAGCCAAACACAAAAAAAAAAAATGTATTCATTGCTCCTCAATGTTTATCCCGTATAACTTTTTAAAGACTGTGAAAACTAGTAATCATTTCTTCACAGCTATTGCTTAGACTACTATTGAATCAATGATTCTGTTAAGACAATACATGATGTTGTCTTTTTCGACCCTAGTTTAAAAACAAAACCAACACACAAACAATCCCTACGTGTTCAGTCTTTAAAAAGCTGACGAACTCAGTCACCAGAACCGTTAAGTGGGTTAGTGTTTTCTTTTACTAACCTCCCTGAAGCAGTCTTTTGATTTCTTCATCTTCAGATAAATGACCATCACCACCTTCAACGAATTTGGTGACTTTGGTGACCTCTGAGTAGATACATGTTTATAGTATAAATTGGTTTACGTAATAAAAAAAACAGGTGACTTGATGTAATAAATCACGGCATCTACCCAGCAATGAATTCCAGACCAACACTCAGGCCTTTCTCCGTTTTTAGTGCTGTGGTTGATAAATCACTTTTCTCATACTTTGAACAATGTATAACAAACGTGCAATCAATACGACTGCCAACTGAGTTTCATTGCCTGTCTTTTGACTTTTTTTCTTATGTTGGGGTGGAACTCAAAGGAAGAAATGAGATATAGCAGAAACCATGTAAAAGGCCTAGAAGGTTATTTTGAGTCTGACAGGGACGGATGGTTAGTTTGCTAGACATGCCGACCTTCTTGCAGCAGTTTCTTCAGAGTGTCTTCTGTGTCCCCGCCACCAGCAGAGATCCTAGTGTATTTTATTTCCGGACCTAAAGAAAAGGTAATCGAAAAGGCCTACATCAGGAGCAGGGAAACTTTTTCTGCAAAGGGACAGACAGTAAATATTTTAGGCTTCTCAGGCCAGATGGTCTCTGTTAAAACTATTTAACTCGGCTGTTGTCCTGTCAAAGCAGCCAGAGACAACATGTAAACCAACGAGAGTGGTTGTGTTCCAATAAAACTTGATTTACAAACAGGCCCCACAGGTCATGATTTTGTGCCGGAAACAATGGCGTAAAAAAATACAGAGTAGCTGAATTCAGAATTTTTGGCTAATTGATAGGTGGAAGGCTGCTGCAGATGTTTACTACAATTTTTGATCAATTGCTTTATACAAACTTGAATATATTTTAAATATGTAAATCTATACACTTAAGATCCATAGAAAATAAAAGGAGGGAGTGGTTTTCCTTCTAGGACTCAGTAACTCAATAAGTCATTAATAAGCAGCAAAGTGAAGATAATGTATTATATAATATTCCTGCTTACAATAAAAACACATGCTTATAGATTGATCTAGCAATTTCCAGTTCGGAATAAAACAGATTGCATATTTAGAATCATTATTTCTACCAAACAAAAACAAACTGACTTTGGTAACCACCATGAACCATGCTGTGTTTCTCTAATGATTCTCCTTACAGAGAAGTTACGGGTTTAACCACTGTTTGTTCTTTATAATCTGGACATTGTTACATGTATGACATCAAAGGTTACCTTTGATGATTCGTTCCTCCCTTGTCTCTTTTTCAGTTATTTCCACAGGCTTGCCGTCAATGATTTTGGTGTACTTTTTAATAATTGGCTCTGAAAGTAGAGGAAGAAAAACGCATTTGATTTATCCCCAAATGGTGTCTAAACTGCCATAAAGTAGACATTTTAATGATTAAATGTATTTCTTAAAACAATACCATTTAGGATTCAATTATAATCATTTTTGAAACATATCTCAAATAAATTCAGATTACTAGAGCTCTAAAAGTTAACAGTTATGTCTCGAATCTTGCGTGAGGGAGAGGGCCAGCTGGAAAGCTAACTCTCCAGGTCAAACTTGTTTCCCGGCCGTGGAATGAGTATTTAGTGAGAATTCAAGGAGTTACATATCATTAGAATGGGAACCCTATAAGTCTTACTAGTTGCTAGTGATTCAGTTCTGACTCATAGCAACCAGAGTGTCAGAGTAGACCTGTGCTCCATAGGGTTCTCAATGGCTGGTTTTTTGGAAGTAGATCACCAAGCCTTTCTTCCGAGGTGCCTTTGGGTGGACTCTAACCTCCAACCTTTTGGTTAGTGGCAGAGAGTGTTAACCATTTGCGTCACTCAGTGACTCCATAATAAGCCCTAGTATGGCTTATTAAAGCCCAAAAAACCAAACCCATTGCCATCAAGTTGATTCCGACTCATAGTCCCTACAGGACAGAGTAGAACTGCCCCATAGGGTTTCCAAGGAGTGCCTGGTGGATTTGAACTGCCGACCTTTTGGTTAGCAGTCGTAGCTCTTGACCACTACTCCACCAGGGTTTTCAGTATGGCTTATTAGCTGGAGTCTTATACAATGGCTGCTATATATTCCTCTATTTCTGAATATATTATGTTCTTTTGCATTGATATTTTTGTTATCACTACATTTTGTAATCATCACTTGAATATGCAGAAGTTATGACAGTTTCGTTGGATCTAGTAAATTAATGATTAAATTAATTCCAATTTAGATCCATGAAAAAGAAAAATACATTTTATTTCTGATTGGCTAATAAGAAGCCATAACTGAGAAGGTCATTCCCACAATGTATATAAAGTAAAAACCAACATAAAACAACCGATGTTTGATAGTTTTAATCCAACACTATATCAAAAGAATCCCAGAGATTCCAGCTAGGCACCAGAACACCTATATAACGCACCTCTGTGAATCACTTCAGTTACTGTTTTGCCTTCTGTAATCAGTCTGAATTCAGGCTTATCTTCAGTTCCGAGCTTTGTTATTGTGGGTCCTGAGGCATTATTTTAGGAGACAAATGATCATGTTAAAAGCAGTCCTTTACATTTACCAGAATAGGAAATTTATTTCAACATTTTTGTTACTCAGATATCAAAGTGGTTTCAGGCTTTTGAAATCGGTTTAAACATTTCCTATCGTCTTCACATTAGGCAATATTTATGTGAACAAATGACTCAGTCTACTGGTGTACTGCTAAAATTACTTTTATCTGAATTTAAAGTGATGGATAAAGTATAATCATGCAAAATACTATACGTGGCCACACTTTGAATCATAGAGCATGTACAAATTTGAGTTGCTCTGATGTAATATACATACACATATCAAGCATCGTTAATTTTATTTTTATTTTTTTAATTATTCAATACTTACAATTTTGATCTTAAAAGGGCACAGGACTGAACATACGAACATCTCAACTTTATGCCTACCTTTAAGCTGCCGAGTTTCAGGTTTTATGGAAATAAATGATTTTGAATACTTACCGTAAGTGAACAGTCCTTCAAATGCAAGAGTTAAATAAGTGCAGTATTTGACTTGCAAAATGATTTTGCTCCAGGAGAAAATCATTTTGAATGTTAGAAAGCTGATTACTACATTAGTTAATCAAGACTATTTCACAGAGGAAAAGAAAAATAAGGTTCAGTACATTTAACTCATACTGTAATACCCTTCAATGGTTGAATGTCATTATAATTGCTAATTTTTGATAAGATTTATTTGCTTGTCCAGAAATTGTCAATGTACACCATTACCCAGAACTAAATAGTCTAACACAATCTAAGTAATGAAAAACAGAGTACAGTTCTTTAAAACTGTAAGTATTTCACATCATAATATTTGCTTTATGGGGCAAAGTGGTATCGATCATCAAACTATAAGATCAGGTTTTTAAGGTCTGGCAACTTCAAAAATAATGTACACCTAAGGAATTTAAAGATAAGAATTCAGCTAATAAAATATCTGAATTAACATTACTTTAGAAAAGTCTCAACTGAAATTTCAGAAACATCTTCTATGAAGTAAGTTCTATGAAAGCAGAGATTTTTATCATTATTTTTTCATATTTATTCCCAGCACCTGCAAGACTACCCAGAACAATGGATGCCCAATAAATATTTGTTGAATTGAATTTCAGTTTATTTATTCTTAAGTATGAAGTTTGGTTAAGAAACAACTTAAAATTGTGTCTTGGGGTCTCGTTTACTTAAGAGTCATCAGTGAATCCGCAGAAGTTCCTACCGTGAGAACGAAATACCAGTAGCAATATTAGAAGCTAGACAACTCTAAATGGCTGTGAAGGGAAGTATTTATTTCCTTCATTATGTTAGACAGAAGGAAAACTTTTGAATTTTGGAACTGAAGAGTTATTAATGAATAGGTGACATGACACCATTTTTCATCCATGTTCCCTCGTTAGGAAGAACCAAGTAGAGCAGCTCCTCCACAGTTCTCCTAACTGCAGAAAGATTAATATGGGTAGAATCCCAATGATGGGGAAGATTGGGAAAGATGATGAAGAAGCTTGAAAGAGAAAGGAATCTTTGCAAATAAGAACAATGGCACATATGAATAATTTCAGTTATAGAAGCTGTGTTCAAGTGATAATACAAAATTTTAGGGACTCTGATTTTAACAGTACGAGAATTTTAAAATCAAGTGTATGATCAAGGATTATTTGTTCATTTTTTTACTAAAATGATGAGAAATATTTTCTCAATAAAAAATCTGTAATTTAATTTTCTGCTTAAAACATCAAATTCTCTTCTTCAATGTGTAAAAATAACCAAATGGCTGTGTTGTTGAAATGACCATAAGTATAGTATTTTAAAAAAAATAAGCACAGTTTTAAAAGAATAAGTCAATTTTAGGTCTCAAGAATGACTGAAAATGTAGATAACTAATTAGCAATGAAATGAGCTTTCATCCTTGTGTTTTCAATGTTTACATTTTAAGCCATAGCTTGCTTTAAAAGGAATAGACAGAAGTATTACAGAAATTGCCATCTCATCTCACAGATTGAGAACAAATACCAAAATCAAAGATAATTACGATAATAGTTTGCCTGAGATGTAATCAAAACATAATCTATTCCTTTTTTGGAAGACAACTTCTATCTATATTATAGAATAAAGAAGATAACCAGGTCTTTTCTCTGTGGCAAGTCATCACATAAAACACTTAAATACGGAAATGAAAAATTCTGAAGGAGCTAACTAAAATACAGTGAAATGAAGGTGACATCAAGGATGTTGGATTTGGCAGCAGGAGTAGAGAGAAAAGTGACTGCTTGTTTAATGTTCTAATCTGAAACATCGGTGAGAAGTTATCTATAAATTCAGGGCTGGAATTATGGATTATATGGTTCCACTCAGTATACCAGTTACTTAGTTTCTCTTCTGTCTCTGGTGGTCTGATTTTAAAATACATCATGTGAGGTTGTGATTTTTAAGAGCTTTTATCAATTTACTGTTTCTATGCTCTATTATTGGAAACCCTGGTGGCGTACTGGTTAAGTGCTATGGCTGCTAACCAAAAGGTCGGCAGTTCGAATCCACCAGGCGCTCCTTGGAAACTCTATGGGGCAGTTCTGTTCTGTCCTATAGGGTCGCTCTGAGTCAGAACCGACTAGATGGCAACAGGTTTTTCTTTATGGTCTATTAGGATGCTGAATGAAAGAAAAATACTTGCACTTTTTTAGAAGAGCTTCTTATAATAGTACAAAGGGACTCATGTCAAGAGATTGGAAACAAAGCCTTAAAAGGTATACTGTGAAAGAATCTAACTGCAGGAAAAAATCCAGGAATTGTCTGCTTAATGAGTTATCTGGGTACTAGCGCTAATACAACAGTCAATTAGGCTCGAATTAAATCAAGTACCAGCAAATGTACTGAAAGTATTAGGAACGCAGCATCTACTGCGCTAAACAATTGGCCCTCCGCATTCTGCAGTTACATGAGCATGCCATGGGGGTAGAAATATTTAGCATGTTAGTTTCAAAACGAATGTAGATACATTCATAGAAATCAGTTTATTATATGGATTTTTTTTTTCCACAGTAAAAGGAACCATGTATAACATTGATTTTACCTTCAGTTTTGACAATAGGGTGAAGACTGCCTTGAATCACTTTAATTTTTGGTTCCACAACTTTGGTTATAATTTTAGTTGCTGAAAAGTATAGAAAGTGGAACATAAATGATGTTTACATAAAAAGAACCTAAACAAAAGCTTTCTGTCTTTTTTTTTTTTTTTCTTTGAAGAGATCACTGAGGTATCAGATGTGGTAATATGCTCAGGCAGTCAGATACAGGCAATATTCATGATACATTATTTACTATCTTCTCATGTCCAGATGTTGCGGTCTGAGGTACAGTAACTTGGATTTGTTCCAGTGAAACATGCACTCACTAAATGAGGAATTCTACCTAGAAATCTATACTTTTGAACTGTACCACTAAAGTTCTTTACCTTCTTTTGTACTTCTTGAAAATAGTGGCTGCATAGCAACAGAAGACAAACATAATTAATTTTATGCAATTCATAATATGTAAAATTGCGTGGTTGGATTCTCGCTCAATTAGAAGGAAAAAAACAACAAAAAAAGGCTATTTTTTTCATGCATTTGATAACAGTGATACAGAAAGAAAATATGAAAAATAGTTCAGAATACTTAAAAAGAAATTTCAGCCAGCCAGACATGAGCTCTATGCAACAAAATATGGTATGACCAGTCTTTTAAGTTCCAGGATAAAATGTCTTTGATTTTGAGTTTTATTATCATAGAATTGTTTTAAACTTAAAGTATGTATTTTAAATGGATGTCATCTACCTAAGTAAGATGATAATGCACAAGATTTATTTAAAATAATAGCCAACTATGCGGTTGACTTTTGGTTGTATACATTGACCGAAGTGTGCTTCTGGTGCCTCACACCTGCAGCTACTGGCTTTTTGGCATTTGTAATCCGAAGCCTTCAAAGATGGCTCCATGAGCCAACGGGCTGCACTGAAGCTGACTTTGCAATCACAACAGGTGATGCCGGCACATGAGCGATGGGATGTTAGCACACCTAGGGTTTCTGTGACGTTCTACCTCAGCCTTCTGAAGTGTCTAGCTGTGTCAGCTTTTTGAATCAGTGTAGATTGTAGACCTTAACTGAGACTATGTTTTGGTCATGTCAGATGCTCTATCTTGAGATCTCAGGTTATGAAACTCTAAATATATGAAATCTGTATTCAGTTATTGATTCTACCATCATATATGGTCTTACCACAGAGGAACCTCTCCATGAAGGTCAAATTCATAGAGGTCTCTGCTGCAGCTGTCATCCTGGTTAATTACTGTTAGCTTAATTTTTACATAATGTTAGGGAACTTGAAGTTTAGCGTGTTTACTTAGCCGGTGGATTTGTTCCAATATATAATATATATAAACACACACACACGTATATATAATACAGACACACACACACACGTATATGTATTTTAGTGGAGAAAGATGACATAACATTTCTGATGAATAGAGCCCATAAGGATTCTTTAATTTGTTATAAAATATATCTTTAACAAAATTGTATACTTTCAGACTGGAATTTATGCCATTTTGAAACACAGTTTTCTAACTGAATCTTTGAACACTGTGCTAAGCTGGCCGGATATCGGAATTACGTGTTTTATTATTACATAATTGAAATCAGTAAGAGCAGAGGACATTTTGTTTTGCTCTTTATAGTGACTGTATTCTTTTACAATACCTGGTCTAAATCGTAAGGAAAATTTTCTTCATTAAATAACTGAAAGATCATGTTATAAAATAGAGTCCTTTTCTAACCAGAATAAATGTGAGAATTTTAGCTACTGATATATTTGAGTGTGTAACTGTAGAGTCAAAACAAAATGAAAAGAATTTCTGCTTTTGAAAGCTACAATGAAAACACAGAAAAGACAAAGAAAGAAAAAAAGGCAAAATGAAAAAGAAATCTTATAAGGTACATTTATGACAGTGAAATTGGCTTTATGGTTGTTTCCTTAAGTCATAGAGGTATAATTTTGATAATCTGGTAGTGTCACAAAAAAAAGGCATCTTGGAGTCTAGAAAGTTTATCACCTCACAGTCCAGCTTTGGATGCAGAGAACTTTTCAGCCACCAGCTCGTAACATTTGTATCCTGCCACACCCCTTTCCACCTGCCCTTAGGGTGCTCAGGGCTTGAAGGAGGAATGAAGGATAAGTCCCTTAGCAAAGCTGTTTCTGTGTCCACACAGCCTAATTTTCAGGTAGCTCTTGAGTGCCGTTTTTGCTATCTCTCGCCTTTGTCTGTCTGTCTGTCTCGTTCCCTGTCCCTCTGCCAAGCTAGCCTTTATAGTTTACTGCCTTTCTCAGATCTTACCAGTCCCGCTGTTGGGCGGCTTAGGGAAGATTCATTGGATTGAAGGGCATGGCCAAGGTTGAGAGATCTTTCTCCACCCAGCCTTCAAGCCCTGGCTCAAATGGGATGAGATTCACCATTATTTGCAACTCTAAATACCAGATTATCAATAGTCTCTGTTTGTAAATACAAAGGAAATTACTGTGTTTTCTTTCTTTACATCATCCGACTTACATATAACAAACGTTCTTATGTACTTACTGTAGACAGTCATGGGGATTTCTTTGAAGGTACTACCACGAACAAACTGAAAATAAATGCTTGTATTTAGTACCATACATGTGGCAGTTATATTTAAAAAATCATAGCATTGTTGTAATTCTTATTAAAGTAAAAGTAATGAAGCTATCGTTACACTTAATAGAAATAAAGTGAGGTTCCCATGGAAATAATCTTCTAAAAAACATATCTCCTTACTATACTGGCCAGTTGACAGAAAAATCATCAGATTTGTCATTCTATAATAATTTATTAAATAACATTTCTCTTCGTCTCTGGTATTGTGACACTATAAAGACAAGGAACAAAATATACTTTGCCTCTCACTACTGTGATTAGTGACATTTTTTATAAACAAACTTTCCCTAATATTTGGTAGCAGCAGTGTTCGATAATAGAAAGATTATAGTTGTTTATGTGCATGTCTTATTGTGCCAGGTGGACAGTAAGTTTTGAAAAAAAGGGCCATCTCTGATTGAAATTAGTATTTTTCATAACACTTAAAACACTGCCTGGGTCCAAGTTGCTTTTTCAGAGATATTTATTGGATAAAGCCATGGAGAAATGATGTTGTTACTTCCTTCCAGGTGGGTTGGTGCTGAATTAGCAACAAAGAACAACCTGAGCCCAGTGCACATCGATTTCTTTCTTTCTTTTTTGTTTAATAATATTTTCTTGTGTTTAAGGTGGAAGTTTACACAGCAAAGTAGGTTCCCGTTTAACAATTTCTGCACAAATGATTCAGTGATGTTGGTTACATTTTTCACAATATGTCATCATTCTCATTCATTCCGTTCTGGTTGTACCATTTCTAGTACTCTAGTTTCCCTGCCCCTTTACCTTCTCATCTTTGCTTTAGAGGAATTTTGACCATCTGGTCTCATACAGATGATTTGTTAAGGAAGCTTATTACTCACCAGTGATAGTCTTTATTTTATGAGCCAATCTGTTATTTAGCTAAAAGGTGAACTCAAGGGATAATTTTGGTTGAAAGTTTAAAGAATATCTCAGGGTGATAGTCTTGGGGAGTCCTCTAGTCTCAACTGGTTGAGGACATGCCTCTATGTCTTAATGCCTACATTTCTAGTCCACCACACTAAGCCTGTAATATCTGTTCAACATATTAAAAATAAATGAAGTATCATTTTGTACCTTAATTTGGATGTATTTGATCAGTTTATTAAGTATTTCCAGCAGCTGATCATTTCCAACCGGTGTGTCTATGAAGAGGAATAGTAAATGAATATTGTTAAGAAAGTGTGAAATAAAGATCTAGGTGCCAATTGAAAAATGATGAGTTCAGTAATTACTAACCTGCTGGATAGAGGAGCTTATCTACAACATGAATGACACCGTTTGTTGTCATGATGTCAGATTCTCTGGATTTCAATTCATTGACCAGAAGTGTATCGTTTACCTGTCAACACAGGTGAATAAGGTCAATGAGAAATTTAATGAGGAAAGAACATTAAGATAATTTAGAGATGGCTCTGCACTATCATAAATGTCTTCTACAGAACTTACTCCTTTCAGATAAATTTTGCTTCCTTGAGTGGTCTTTAGAATGTTGGTAACACCAGGTTCGAATCCCTTTCCAATGAAAACTCCTGGTGTCAAGTGGTAAAGAATGATGTTTTGAAGAGCATTTTTATCCCCTAGGATAAAAAGAAATGCATTTATTTAACACTATGTCATACTTCAGACACTGTGACACTACCAGGACCTTGGTGTAAAACATGCCTTTTTCTTTAACTATCTTCCCACACGCTATTATTTCTATACCGTCATTGTCCTCTCAAGTCGATATCAAAACCATGCCAAAACATACAGTTATTTCAATCAGACCAATTAAAATATGACCCAACTTACTGGGAGAACAGAATCAAATGACTGTTGACATTCTGAGTACTGCCCCCTTTCTCACCTAATTGCATGGCCTTTGATAGAAATTACTTAAGGGAACATCCAGCCAACAGCATGACTCTTGTTAGCTGCCATCGAGTCAGCCCAGACAAATGGAGACTCCATGAACAATGGGATCAGACCGTTGTGATCCATAGGGCTTTCACTGGCTTGTTCTTTGGAAGTAGGTCACCAGGTCTTTCTTCCTGGTATGTCTTGGTCTGGAAGCTCCACTGAAACCTATTCAGCATCATTGCAACACTCAAGCCTTCACTGACAGACAGGTGGTGGCTGTGCATAAGATACATTGGCTGGAACTGGCATTCAGGTCTCACGCATGGAAGGTAAGAATTCTACCACTGAATCACCACGTGTCCTCCAACAGCATGATAGGAAAAAGTTAATTCAGAACATTAATGAGCGACCCTCCATTTATCTCAAGTGGAATTAAAGGGATCAAATGCTAGCCACGAATATGAAAGAAGGGACATTTTTGTCCCTTCCGTTATGAAGGAAGGCTCACATCTGGCCAGAAAAGGCTGATGAAGACGTTAGAAACTGAAGTTAAAGGGCAAACATCTGGTAATCACTTCTACTCACGCATCAGGATTTCCTTCTCTTCATTAGTCATTCCTTTAAAGGCATCGTTGGTTGGCACAAATAAGGTCCAGTCCCCAGGTTGTGTCAGAAGATCTTTCAAGTCTGCAGCTTCGAGTAAGCTGAGGAAGATGCTGAACAGGAAGGAAGTATGTTTATTTCGTTAGTTTTAAATTTTAAATGTGCTAACCTAAGTGTCCATCAACAGATGAATGGATAAACAAAATGTGGCACATACATACAATGGAATATTACTCAGCCATAAAGAGAAATGAAGTCCTAATCCATGCTACAAAATGGATGAACCTTGAAAATCTTGATCTGAAGTAAGTCATTCACAAAAGGACAAATATTGTATGATCTCACTTACAGGAAATAACAAGAAAAGACAAATGTATAGAGACCAAAATTTGTTAGTGGTAAACAAGGGCAGGAAGGAAGCAGAAACAGTGAGCCATTGTTTAGGAAGCAGTGAACGTTTATGGTGATGGAAAATTTGGCAACAATTATGGGTGATGGTTATACGTGATTAATGTAACCGATATCACTAAATTGTACACCTAAAAATATTGCATTGGCAAATGCGTTTTATGTATTTTTACAACAATAAAAAATCAGGTGTGCTCACCAACAATGCATTAACATAGAATCCATGAATTGCAGAAAGCATGAAAAACATTTTCATATATTTCAAATGCAATTTACTTATTAAAAAAGTTTTATCATGGGGAAATGATTTAAATATTCATGGTAATTCTTAAATTTCTCAAACTCTGTTTTTAGTGTGTCAAACTCAGTGAGGTCACGTTGTTGTTGTTAGGTGTCTTGAGTCAGTTCGGACTCACAGCGACCCCACATACAACAGAAGGAAACACTGCCTGGTCCTGCGCCATCGTGACAATCACTGCTGTTTGAGCCCATTGTTGCAGCCACTGTGTCAATCTGTCTCACTGAAGGTCTTCTTTCTCGCTGACCCTCTACTTTACCAAGCATGATGTCCTTCTCCAGGGATTGGTCCTTCCAGACAACATGACCAAAGTATGTGAGATGAAGTCATCCTCCCTTCTAAGGAGGATTCAGGCTGCATTTCTTCCAAGACAGATTTGTTTGTTCTTCTGGAAGTCCGTGGTATGTCAATGTTCGTCACCAACACCATAATTTAAAGGCGTCAATTCTTCTTCAGTCTTCCTGATTCACTGTCCAGCTTTAGTGTGCATATGAGACACTTGAAAATACCATGGTTTGGGTCAGGAGCACCTTAGTCCTTAAAGGGACATCTTCGCTTTTTAACACTTTAAAGGGGTCTTTTTGCAGCAGATTTGCCCAGTGCAATGCGTCGTCTGATTTCTTGACTGTTGTTTCCATGGGTGTTGATTGCAGATCCAAGTGAAGTGAAATCCTTGGCAATTTCAATATTTTCTCTGTTTATCGTGATGTTGCTTATTGGTCTAGTTGTGAGGATTTTTATTTTCTTTATATTGAGGTGTAATCCATACTGAAGGCTGCAGTCTTTGATCTTCAACAGTAAGTGCTTCAAGTCCTCTTCACTTTCAGCAAACAAGGTTGTGTCACCTGCATATCACAGGTTGTTAATGAGTCTTCCTCCAATCCTGATGCTGTGTTCTTCATATAATCCAGCTTCTCAGATTATTTGCTCAGCAGACAGATTGAACTAGTATGGTGAAAGGATACAAACCGGACACACAGCTTTTCTGATTTTAAACCCAGTATCTCCTTGTTCTGTTCGAATGACTGCCTCTTAGTCTATATTACAGGTTCCTCATGAGCAAATTAAGTGTTGCGGAATTCTTGTTCTTCACAATGTTATCCATATTTGTTATGATCTACACAGTGGAATGCCTTTGCATAGTCAGTAAAACACAGGTAAACATCTTTCTGAGGTCATACAATATAACAAAACAGAAGCATATTTTTTTCATTTAGTATTCTATAAAATAGTCTTTGCTAGTATATTCATCATTTTATTAAACTTAATTATAGAAGCATTGCAAGAAGCAGTTCAGTCTACTAGCTGTTTTGTTTTTGTTTTTTTTTTTTTCTCATCAAATCATATTATTTTGCACCAAGGAGCAAAATAAATAGTGTTTAAAACATATTTCAATTTTGAAAACATTCACAATGACTTCTAATTCTAAATTCTGTTCTTAGCAAAACAGGAGGCTGAATGGCTTTTGGGATACTAACTGATCAAAAAAAGAAAAAAATGCCAGTTGCTCCATTGTTTTGTGGAAGTGACACTAATAAGCTTACCTAAAGCGTTTATCCTGTTTTAATTTTTCGTGTAGTGATTTCTCTGCTGGTTTGATGATCTCTCGGAATATGTGAATAGCACCATTTCTCCCTTGCTTGCTTCCTCTCACCATGCATGAATTTTCAATGCAGACGGCCTAGCAAGGGGAAGAAAGAAGCATGCTCTCATTTCCTTACTTGAAACTTCTTATGTGGATATAGACGCATAATTAAATTTCTGGACTGACCCTTCAGAGAGGTCACCTGATCCCTTGGGCCGGAGGAAATAGCTTCTCTCCTGTTTCGAAGGTTTTGCACAATCTGATCTCGCACTTCTTATCCAACCAGGTTTTCTGCTACTATTCAAGCTACCTCAGGCTTCCAGCAGATAGTTCGTCAGTAAATTACAAAAATTCCATGGAATTCCATTTCTGCATTTTCTATTGTTTTTACTCTATTCCTCTCTAGGTTTTAACTATTCCTCCAGCCTCTTATAAAAAAAACAATCCAGTTGCCATCAAGTTTATTCCGACTCATGGCAACCTCACATGTTTCAGAGTAGGACTGTGTTCCATGGGGTTCTCAAGGGCTGTGATCTTTCAGAAGTAGATCACCAGGCCTTTCTTCTGAGGTGCCACTGGGTGGGTTGGAACTGCTAGCTTCTCAGTTAGTAGCTGAGCATTTCACTGTTTTCGCCACCCAAGGACTCCCCACACCTTCTTTAGGTCAATATTAACCATAAAGTTTCCAGTGACTCCAGGGCCCTTTGTGATCTTCCTTTCCTTTAGATTCAATTAAAGAAAAATTTTCTCTCTTGTTTGGACTATAAGACCCATTCAACTGTAAATCAAATCAGTGACTTAGTGATAGCTTTTAAACAAATGTAATACATGTTAATGTATAATTTAAAGTATAGCTCATTTTCTGAATCATTAAAGTGCATGTCTTGGAATGGGAGCAGCGCAGTGAGAAGCTACGGTGTGTCATACCCAATTCTAGGTGCTATACGGTTTCTTATGAGACCTTTTAACAGTAGCTGCATGTGTTTCTGGGCAGAAACTGAATGATACCACTAGTTTCCCTGTCATTTGGATAAGTAATGTTTTATAGAAAGTTGTCCTCAGATAAAAATCCATTTGAACCACTTTATAGGGTCCAGGAATCTCTGTATTCCTATGTAAGTTTATCTTGAAAGTCATCCAATAAGATTCAATTGGTGAGTAAAGCATCTTAACATTAAAAGTTCATCCTACATATTTAATTCTAGCTAAAAATTATCTTGCGAACTAT